GTCACATAATAACTACACTTTGAGCACCTTGCAAGCATTTCTGCAACAGCGCCTTCTTCACCTCACTGGTGGTCCACTCTATCTACAAAAATATGAACAAACCCTGATACACCGTTTCGACCTATGGTAGATGGTTTGCTGAACCTCTTCCATGAAAGACTAGCGTAAACACCATGTTTCTTCAAAAGGCGGAGAGTTGCTCACACCACCTAAAACTCTTTTTAACAGTAGACAGTCCCTGGTTGAGTGCTCAGCTTAATGACAATTATTTGCCTAAATTCTAACCGACACCCGTCTAATTCACCTGCACTTCTGTCCAGCTATCACTTTGAGTTGCGTTGAAACACCTATACTGCCTCACTCTCACAAGGAGGTAAAGAACACTAAAACCCCAGGATTACACCTGAAGATGACTAGACCAGAGACTGTAAATTAACCCTCCCAATTCCGATATGGTATCCTGAGTGACAGTACAAATGACGATAATCTCAGTTCTTCTTACTTTCAAGACCACTTTAATTGCTTTCGGACTCACTTAGCAAGCCCAACGGACCATAGGTAAGACAGTCAACACAAATTAGTTCTTCTCACCCCAAGGTTGTTTCTCAATCTCAAGAAAACGGAGAACCAGCCAGATGGCAAAAGTGACCAAGGGGAATAAGCGCAGGCTCAGACCATGGTCTAGTGAAGACAAATTTCGTGGTCAAGTTGAAAGCCCTCAAGCCGACTGGAGACAGACCGAATTCAATTCCGACATCTGAATACCAAGGGACGAAAGTAAAGAGGACTAATCCACCAGAGCAATTGGAGAAAAGTCGGAGACATGTGTAGCGTTGGTGAAGAAACCCTTGTGGAGGAACACTGAAACTCAGAGAGTGCTTTTGTGGAAATTTTTATAACACTTAAAACGCATGGCAACCAACAGAGAAGGAGAGGATGGTGAAAAAGAAAATGAACCAATCCAAAGATGGGCAATGGAAGGAGAAACTGAGCTCAGTGTACATCTTATTGAATAGAGGAGTGAAGATAAAGACAAAAGGCACTTATGTGACCCACGGAAAACTGAGGCAGAATAGGCCATATCTAAAAGACACCTCAGAATATTATATCAGAAAAACAGATCTTTATCCGGGGAGAGATTAATGCAGGTAAAACCAGTGGAGGGCAATGAAATGGAGCTAACTGCCAATGAGGAAAAGCAGAGGAAACAATCAGCAGATATCTTTAAAAGACTCCTGAGCCGATCACCTGCAGAAATGCTAGCGACAGCCAAAGAACTGCTAGTCAACATCAGTGCTCCGACAAATGTGGAGGTTTTAAACACCATAATGGAATCCGGTCAGAGATGCAGCAGTAACAGGCGGAATTCCTCCTGAAGCACTGGGAACGACCCAGAGGCCAGAGCGGACATGATGACAACACTGTTGCAGGAAGTCGTTTTTAAGGAAAAGTATTTGCTAACTGTAGGGAAGACTACCTTTTCAAACTACCTCAGAAGACAGACATAATAGTTTCTCAAAACTGGCGTGGACCCGTGCCTCTGTTCAAGCGAAGCAAAACTTTAGGTCGCGTCGTCTCGGAAACCGTGATGTGGACATCTTTCACATGTTCTCCCCTTGAAGCAGCCTCTGCATACACTCGTTTTCTGACAAAGACGTTCTGCCACCTTGCACTTAGGCACTGTATTTGGTTGCGTTTGAAGTGTAAGGCATGAGTTCATGCACCCTCCTCCCAACCTCATAAGGTAACTAAAGTCACATGTCTGCATACCTGGTGGTTCAAGACTTGATGCTATACAGGCCAAAGTAGTGGTCTAGTTGAACAAACCATAGTTTAAGTCATGCCCATCGAATTCAGATAATCTAACCTATGTAGTTACAGAAGGTTCCATCTTTGCCAAGGTATCGCGTTAGATAAATGAAGTAGGTAATCTGGTCAAACACACGGAGGAGCATTCACCATTCAAAGGGTTGAGAAAGGCTCACAAATCATAAAGAAGGTGGAGTTTATACTTGGATGCTGGTCCCATCCTTCTCAATTCCTTAATCACTCACTACATGTTAGTGGGTACAGCATACTGTTATAAAGGCCTTACATAGCAGTAAAGATAAATCTCTGAACCAGGACAAGGAGAAGACGGAGGCAAATATGTTTTCCCACCATTAATCATGAGCAGCAGTCATCATCTTGCAGACGAACCTGGACATATATACATGTAAGCGTCTATTTGCACGTGGTGAGTTTATTCATTGCTTTTGAGAATAATATTTGTGCTGTTTATGCACATTATGCCTGTGAAGTTGTGTGGTGAAAAGACTCATGTGTTCCGACAACGTTATTACAAAAGTCTCCACCCGAATTGTGTGGTCTTGAATAAGATTTAATCCAGTATTTTCATGCATCTATACGGATATGTTTTCGGAGACACGTTTCATATATTCTGTTTATTCATGCTGAATGAAATTTCCTGAGCAGTTTATGAATGTAATATGTGAAATATTTATTTATATATCTTCTGCACCATACGCACTTAATGGTCTATTCACAATCCGTGTCAATGTAGCTGAAGATTGAACGATCAATTCATGGTTGTTTGCTCAAACCAACTCCATATTTGTAGTGGGAGTCATCAATACGGCAGTCATCGTACCATCGTTCGCTGTTCGGTGGAAGACGGAAAACTATCAGAGGTTTGTTCGTGATTTGTTGTTATAACATTTATTCTTAGGCGTTGCGTGTAGTAACCTTAATATTGGTTACATAGTGGCGTGGGAATAAAGGATTCTGGAGTCGTCAATCTGTGTTCTGGTTTTCGCGTTGGTTAATACAAATTGTTTCTGAAAATCTTCCAAGGACAGAGTGAGGTCCAGCGTAGTAAGAGCTGGATATTGACAGTTTCTGAGAGTTGGTTGACAATCCGTCTCAGTCTGTTTGCCAGGTAAAATAAAATGACATGTCACACGTTTAGCGTCAACCAATGAGAATCCAGCACGCTATTAGCGCCTACTTTTTAGCACTTGCAACTGGATCAATATATTTAATATACATGTGCACTCTTAGGCCTTTTTCTCTCCACTTTGTTTCAAAAATACACCTTCCCAGACCTACTGTGAGTCTGTAGAGGGAAAAAGAAGTCCGTCCGTTCAACCGAATTTCGGGCAGTTCGTTTTCAAAGGGCAATTTGTTTATCTGTGTTAATTGAGTCAGACTGTGAACAAGTGGGTTTTCATGGAGAATTAGTGTGGCAGAGCGTTGTGGTGTGACTATATATCTGTACTCCCTTCATGCAATCGTTTGTAAATACGCCCCTGAACATCTGTAGGGGTTATATTCTCCCTTCTCTATTTGGGGCAGGCAGGATATACAGTTACAAAAATGGTGAGTGTTATTCTGAGTTGAAGCCTATTGTGAACGAGGTTGAAGCCTTTCAGAAGGCGTAACTAACTGATTTCCTAGGGTTCTTCTGCAATTTACTAGTTCCGTGTCAGGGAATAATCTGCTAAGAAACTACCAGGCGTTCATTTTCGCCAGTGAGCATTCCTATTCACACTTGGCGTCATCACAACTCTTGTTCCAGACATTTTACGTCATATCAATAGCTAGGGAAAGTTCGCGGAAGATGTGGAAGAGATTTGCTTCAGCTCTGCAAGACGTGTGGAAGACTGATATAACGCTATAATTTCTGTGGCCTCATAAGAGGACCACACTATAACTCCGGAGGCTCGTTCTGAAGTCTCACAGAGTCATTTCAAAGGTTCATACGCTCAAGCATCCTGATCATACATCCGATGGATTGTTATTACGGATTTAAAACATTGCCATCAGCGGATAAACTGAAAGACCCTTGGGGTACTTATGGATAAATGGAAGTGCTAGAATTTCAGAAGCCAAATATCCTTGCAGTGAAGTTAGAAACAAAACTTTTATTCGAATCTTTAACGTTATTCCAAAATACATTTAGATCGAGGCTCATTGTTGGAATTTCAAGAATAAGACGTCACATGCAACCCCCAACCTAGTTGCTGACACATTCACAGTCGAAGAGGTTAGGAAAATCGGTGGTGATGCCAGATTACTCCTCTAGTGTAGCGCCAACTATGACATCACTTCCGGCTGCACAAGTGGAAAATGTAAAAGATTATTTCCATACTAATCGAATCGCCCTTCTCCAGCCCCTGAACAAGCTACACGCATGGACATCATATTGACCAAATGGTCTTTGCTCAAAACTCCGCAGAAACCTGGCGGCTGACATCACCGGTTTACAGCCTACTGTCTTCATGCCATCCCTCCTATGTGGAGAGTTGCCCCATGGTTTTAAGTATGCAGTGGCAAAACTCGTTCACGAGACAGGATCTAGGAGGTGTTCGTCAGACCGCAGTTTTATTAGTCTCATCGGCAGCTTGATCAAGATACTTGGGACAGCGGTCACGAAAGATATCGTGGCGTATTTGTTATTAAACAAGCGGTATTGTTATGCGGAAAACCTCTAGTATCTCACAAGTCTAACAGCAATGGAAAGATGGATAAATTAATGTGAGATCACGAATTACACTACTTAGATTTCAATAAAGTATACGACAGAACACCTTGCGCAAGAGTGCACAGGAAATTTCATAGTTCTGACATTGCGTGTAACCTCCTCAACTGGATCGAGGGTTCCCTCGTAGGTAGGTCCAGAGCCGGAATTAACTTGAAATCCTCTTTCCGAACAGTGGAGGTGTACCACAAGGCACAGTACTCTACATCGCCTTGGTCTATCCTGTTTGTCAACAAATTACCCAGGCCCGCTCATTCTCCCATAGTTTTCTGCAAAGATGGCCGGGAATGGAACCTCGGACCACATGCGTAGTTGGAGAGCATTCAAAGACTGTGCCATCGACACAAGTCTTGATGTGTTGGGCATTCAATATTGAACAGATGTCAGGAAGTGGTTTCTGAAGTAAGTAAGCAATATGGCGTGTTAAATATGTGTAAAATGTTCGTTGTTCTCTTTTTAGACCTCTCCCTGCGGACTAAATCTAAATTTAGTTTACAAGGGGTAGGTATTTCGTTTGTACCAACACTTCATTCATTTGTGCCGCAATGTTTGAAAGCTTTCGATGATGGGTGTTGAGTGACCAGGTATAGTAGAGTTTTGTGCTATCTTCATATCTATCATTATTTCACGTATATTATGATTATTAGTGGTATTTTTTTAAAGGTTTTCTCAACAGAGTTAATCCTTGAGACTTTATATGCATGGGTATTCTCCTAATCAGTCTTTAATAAAAGCCTCTAAAAGGTGAGCCTTAAATTGTTTAGCACTTCCTGTTGCGTGTATATGGCGTTACCGTGATCGCACGTCTGGATATAGGTGCAAGTGCATCGTAAATCTTTCTGGAGTGAGGATGCAAGTTGCAAAATAAGCTCACCGCCCGTCTCAGGATAGTTCATTAAGAAGAGAGGAGGCGGTTAAAAATGGTTTGAATTTCCTCAGACATATGGCTTTATGTGGTTTTGTATTACATACCTAGAGAAATGTAACCGTTTGGGTGTTTGCTTTAGTCTGTTTTTAAATTGTCATACGATTTTGTAACAGCCCGAGTACTTGTATATTTGCTAGACTGTGCGCATTAATCTCTTGATAGTTTTCATCCTCACTAGTGTTTCTAAAGTTTCCGGTCTAAAATACAGTTGCTTCTTGTTTCGCGCGTCAGTGAAAGTACTGTCATGTTCCCTGAAGTTTGTCTTCAATTTGTATCGCTAATTGGTGTGTATTCTCTAGCGTAATGACAAGGAACGAGAGCTTTAACTTCAGGACATAGCTTAGCGTCGGTTCTTTTTGAAAACTTCGGAATCGAGCATGGCTGGGGCTTTCTTGGACCCGGAAAGCTTCGGGTCGAAAGAGTGCTCTTTTAGTGTGGTACCTATTTTGTAAATTAATTATTGGATGATTAATATAAACAACACCTGAGTATTCGACCCTACACCACTGCATTCTAATTTAGCCACTATGATTTCATCGCAACACAGATAATGCCTACAGTATAGTGAAATCAATAACTTGTAAAAAGGTTAGCAATTTCTGTTTTTAGCAGTGTGGTGTATCCTCACGAATCATTCCTTGGGCTGTCTTATGCGGTGCGTGGTGTACCGTACCAAGCGTTTTCTTGTGTGAACTATAATACGAATGACCGTTTATGTCAGGCCAACTGATTAAGGTGCGTCAGTGGCAAAGTGGTTAGGACTCTCCCCGACCATGCACATGGTCCGAGGTTCGATCCCCAGCTGACGCGCACCTGATATCTATGGTCGGCCTGTAAAATTTGGGCTACCGATATCCATGCTGAAAATTCCATACTTGTACCAAAAAATACGGTGTGGAATCAAGCTGTAATCAAAAATAGAAATAAAATATTAATTTCTGCTTGTTCAATTGAAGTTTGACTTACGTAGACACTATGTTTCATTGACTTTTAAAACTTTTGGTTACGAATCTAAGCTTTGTAGTGTCATGAATGTGTTGTTTCATAGCCTAGTAAACAAATTTGTATCCAACCACTTTGTGAGGTTTTTGTGCTTTCACTGAGGTATATATTCTACATGTAGTTACCGGTTGCCTTTGCATCGTCCTGACATTCCTAGCCAGCATTCCGAAATAACGGTACTGGTATACAGCGTAAGATAATTTTAAAGGACGTGAATATTAGGCAAACTGTGGTTAAAGATAATGAGTGCTAAAAGTCAGGGTCTCTCGTTAGGAGGTTGTGGACACTAAACTACTATGAAACTTGAACTGCTATATTATTTTGCTAAGTCCTAGTTTGAAAGTTGTATTCAATTCTTTTTGCCTTAGGGTTTAATTCCTTCTATTAGTATGTTTGTAACAGCGTAATATATTCCAAGATTTTATAAATACAAATTAGATGCCTTTAGGTTATTTATTATTTGGCTGTTAATATATCCTTAACTTTTAGCAAAAAGGATCCTGTTCGATTTTGCTGTGCCACTATAAAAAAAGCAATTATTATGCTGGTTTTTGAACAAGTTAATGTTTTACATCCACTTTTGTCATGCGTTTCAGTAACCATTTGTATCATTATACGTTATTTAGGAATGAGCAAGTACCAATAAAGCCACTCGTAGTTTAGAAATAACTTCATATTTTACGTTCACCCTCAACTGTAGATTGTATTACCTCATTACCGAAAAATGCAGGACTTGTCGCCAGGAGTCGAATTCTTTTTACGTATATACCAACTGAATGTGGTCTTGACTTTGATTAAAACTTCAGACAGTGGATCTGAGCTCCATAACATCTATTGAAACTGCATTTACTGTCCCAGCCGGGTGTAATTGTTAGAGCCATCTTTATTCTGAGTGATGTGTTTGACTGCACTCATTGGGGAAAACTGATATTCATTAAATGCTCTTCTCTCATGTCAGTCTTTTCGAAGTCAGATTAGGTTGGGTAGACGTGGAATGCCATTTACGAAGCTCCTCTCCTTCACTCATTTGTGCATAAAAAGTAGACGTGTTTCGGTTGACAAAATATTCTAAATCGATAATTTAGACAGCTCAGTTTTGGTTACAGATGCGCATACACACTTATTATAAGAAAATAACCTCTATGAATATGTTATCGTTTATTACGTAGTTTTAATCTGTAAGAGTATTATTTATGGTTTCTCTGCATTTATTTTTGTTTCCTTTACTCCTTTTGCGAGCTTTTTGAAACGTGACTACTTGGAGTACTGTAGCTTTGTGCAGAGTTATGGGTACCGGTTACGTTCTTCGTCATTTTCATTCGTTCTAATCTTTCTGCCTTTGTTCCTTTTTCTTAGCACATGTGGTGCGCATACCATAAGTTTGCACTTTTCTGTTATCACATCTAGTTAACTGTGCTCGTAATCAGTAATCACACTCCGAATAGCATCAACAGCGTGATCCCACTCTTAATTTATTAGTTTTATAAGTAAATTGCACTTATTTCTTGTTTGACTTCTGTTTTCAGACTCCACTTTGTTTATAACATTTGGTCTGATAAGGCGTTTCGTGTGCCCTTCGTGAAGTTTTACTAACAGTTAAGTAATTCAGGATAAACAGTTGTCACAGTTTGCTATGCGGTAGCGATTATTAATGCCCGATCTAGAATGTCGCATCCATTTTAGCTTCCTCCATCCCAATATAGCGTGTGCGAAGTCATTTCAGTATTTATGGAATTTATTACTAGTAGTTTAGCTTTAGGCTAAATATTGGTATCAACTCATAAAGTGGGAAGTAATCATGCACTCATTTCAGTATATGACGATTAGAAGAAAACTTTGGCGGTCACTTGTGCGCACAGTTCAAAGAAATTTAGAAGTCAGTTATCTGGACCAGATTTCCCATTTCTCTGTCTGGATTCACATAGAACTTGGCACCGAAGTGCACCAGTTCGAGTTGCCACGTTCCAAATAGCACACAGATGTAGACAAGAAGATGAGTGAAGAGAATTAATAGAGTTTGACAAATATAAGAGTGAAACAGAATGGGTAATGGTAGAAAGGAATATGAAAGATTACAGAGATTGAATACATCTGCGCCATTGACAACGATTTTGAGCCATGTCACCTATTGTCTCCAGCCATTGATTCCTAGAGTCCCGAGGGCCCCAACCCGGGAGTCTGCATCTCCCTACCTGACTCAGTTTAACTGTCAAGGATTTCATGGATTGATGAGGCCATGTTTTTGTTTGGCCACCACTGGCTCTTTTCCAACATGAACCTATATCAGCTAACAATGCCCGTCGGGGGAGGCGGTGGTTAGGCATGCGCACCACGTGACCTAGCCATCTTAGTCTATGTAACTTTATAACCTCGTCGATTGATTTTCCCTCTTTGCCCAACACCCTACGCCTAACGTCAACATTACTTATCTTGTGAAACCACCTAACGTGAGACAGAGATCGCAGACATCTATGATCGAAAGCAGTCAACCTTTTCATGTCTTCAACGCGTATTGGCCATGTTTCAGAGCCATAGAGAAGGACGGAGCGAACTGATGAGCAGTACACACGTCCCTTGGTTGATAACCGGATTTCCCATTTACTCAACTGTGGACCAGATTTATTGCGTGTGGACTAATGGTATACTTCTCAATTATTTAGACGGAAGTTCGCGGGGCCGAATCGAACTGTCTGAAAGTTTTATACATAGGACAAAGAATCGCACCACAAAGTTCAGGTAAAACTAGCCTGAGTCTGTTAATGATATTACAGCTGTATTTTAAGCCATTAGATGGAAAACAATTAACACTATAAAAGGATTATTAACTAACGATAACTTTGATAAGTTTCTATTTGCGTCTGGCGAAGGATCTACAGTGAAGTAAATTACGAAAGCAGCAGAGTGTAGACGTAATATTTGTCCAATATTCTTAGCCTTGACCTTACGAAAACAATTTCTTATTTTAGGTACTTTGCTTTTACGACATGAAATTGTCAGTCCCAACATAACTTATGGATGTTCAAACTGGTCACTGTGAGTGGATCGCTCCGTCTAATACAAATACGTCTACTGAGGAACTTATTAGCTCCATCGCTGGCCTAAGTTTCGAAGAAACTCGCTTACTTTGGGGAAATAGTGGCTATACAACTGTATCTACTCAAGATGTCCTGTCGAACCGTCCACTTCCATTTAGCGCAACACCGTGGGATATGTCTTCAAATGCGACTTCACATTCCATACCCATGGGTCGGGGTCGTCGTGATAAGCCCGTCACATCCACAGATTCTAATGTAAATGAAGGCAGCATCCTGATGTCACCAGGATCCAAAGATATGGTGACTCTAGGTATGCAAATGGCAGATCACGTTTTAAGTAACTCTCCAGGAAGTGGAGGTAAGTTGTCATAATTCTTTACACTGTTCTTTGTAGCTCAGTTTTTACGAGATCTCTCCGAGAATTTGTCAAGCGCATTTCCACACAGACCAACATCTAATTCACTCAATGGATCTCAGTCTGTAACATTAAACTCTTTCCAGTTTGATTCAAGTGGAAGACCAATATTTCCTAGTGAATCAGATCAAAATCAGTCAATTTCTGCAGCTAATGGATTAATTTCGAATTGCTTTAGTCCGGCTCAATATTATTTACGTCCTCCGTCAGCTGCGACACAGCCACTACAACCTCAAGTGCCGTATTCAATCATACCCAACAGGTCCTCAGAGTATATACACGGAAACAACTTTACTTCTGACGCCACTGGTTGCGAACCTTGTAATCCTGTTCAGCCTGAAAGTTTACTACCTTATTTTATTAATGTTCCAACAAATAGCGACCCTTCAGCATCCAATATGCCTGCTGACTCTTCTTTTAACATTTTCACTGGCTCTCATTTACATCGAGACCAGCGTTCTGCAAATCAGTCTGACAGCACAGCACAGTTGGTTTCTGTAATTCCACAGCCAGATCAGTTCAGTGGTTTACAATCTATGAAGTATAATTCCACAGCCACTAATGGGGAAAATAAAAGTCAACCATTTACTGCTTTCCCTGGGGTTGCATTTTCTGGTGTGAACCAAATGAACACGTGCTTAGATTTTAATAATAGTGATTTTTCAAATAACACCTCGTTTATCAGTCAGGCTTCTTTACCTTGTAGCGAAGGTTACTTACCAACTGTTATTCGTTCTAATGGGCCGAGTTCGCAGGATGTAAACAACTTTGGAGGTTGCACAACATATCCGTCTGTGAATCCAGACTTTTATATGAATGGATCATCCTATAATAATAATAATCTTGGAGGTAATCGGACGGCAGAACATGCTCCATCTGATCAGTCTACTAATGGATTAGTTGCAAATTCACCTTTTGGTAATTTCTTTAATTATCAGATGTTTTTAAAATCTAGAATTCTGGTTGTATTAATTGTAATCAATTGTTTCAGCTTTCATGCATTTATTCCTCTTAATGAATTAGAATGAAGCAAGAACAACAGTGGTTTGTGCAGAATAATACGGTACCATCACTTGTTTCGTTGGCTTCTCATCAGTGGCTTACAGCCTAAATAAATTATGAGAAAAGTTTTAATATATTTGCAAATTTTTTCTCATGGTATCAGTTGACAGAAGGTCTCACAACTAGTGGACAGTGCTCACAAAACTGCGCTTCTATAGTTTTTACACAAGCAGTTCGAGTTTAAACAAAATGAATGTATGCATACAATAGTAAAGGAGTTACGTAATAAAGACGAGAGATGTGTAAGATGCAGAGTGACTAGTAAATTAGGTAACAATGTACTAAGTTCAACGCAAATCATAGAAACGAGACATGCAAGATTAATAATTATAAAAGGGCAGTGAGGTTAAAGCCAAGGATTACGTAATCAAATGAGAGAATAAAGACACCCAGTTACCAGGGCAAGGAAAGACTAATAACTGCTTCTTTCTAAACAAATAAATCTGGTTTCAAGCGTTTGATAGAAATTGCTCCGGCAAACTTGAAGAGAATCGGGCTCCTTTGTCTATTGATAATTTTAAAGGACTTCTCGATTTCCACCTCATGACCCGTGTCGAGGTGTCTGGTAATAGCGCTACTATAAGAGTTTGTTCCCTTGAGACGTAGGCTTTTCGGCACATGTTCAGAAAATCAGAGGTGTGCCCTTCTTTCTGTTCTCCCGATTTAACAGCTCCCGCAGATACACGTAAATTTGTATGCACATTTGGAGTTAACATAAGAAGGGTATCTATCGACTTTTGACTGCACCAGAGAACATGCTCGGTGGACGGGAACCAACTTAGTTGCAGGATGGACTCTGGCTAGTGACGTACTCAGTCCTCTGTTGACCGTTGTTTTCACCTTTAAAAACTAGTTGAATGAAGACAGGCTTTTTTCAGCTGTGATTTGTTTGATGTTTGAGCCTTCACAACTTCCATATTTGTTAATGAATCCTTGCGGATAACCGTTGTTTTTCAACACCTTTTCGAGAATCGTAAATTCTTCCTCTAGTTTCTCTGCGGAGCATATTCTCCTCGCTCTATATTACAGAGTCTTGGGTAATGCTTGTTTATAGCTATTTGGACAAAAACTATTAAAATGTAATTATTGTCCATTCCATGTCAGCTTTCGGTAAATTGACCTTTGGAGACTACCATCTTCTAGGCGTTGCATGGCAATGTCAAGGAAATGAAACTTTCCATCATTTTCATCTTCCATCTTAAATTCGATATTTGCATGTGCGTCGTTGAATAATCTGAGTAGGTAGGAAGCATGACTTTCATTGTTGCATACTACAAATGTGTCATCGAAATATTGACAATAGGAAGTCGTTTTGTCAGTTGCATGCTTCAGCTTTGTTTTCTCAAGGTGTGACATGAAGATATCTGCTAAAACAGGGCCAAGCGAACTGCCCGTAGCTACACTACCTATTTGTCGGTAAAGAGTGTTGTCAAACTGGAATTGCACACCCATGGTACACATTAGCAGTAGGCGTTTGAATTCCGACTCTGGTAGTGGGAGAAGACCAGACTATTGACAAATGATTTCAATGGTTTCATTGATTGGGATCAGCTTTGGCTTATGTGAGTTACATAGATGCAACCGTAACAGATGTCTAATACGGAATTAGCGATTGAATTTAGCAATTGCCTGAACCCGAATAGATCATTCCGATATTGTTGGAGTGTGGATAAAGAGCTACTTAGCTAGAACTCAATTGATATGGCTAGATGCCTCATGTATATCGGGCTACAAGCAACCTTTAATGGGTGGGCTTATTATCCAAAGCAGCTGCCTAGTCTAAAATAAATGGTTTGGAATTGTAATCTAGAGCACATTGCCTTAAAATCAATGCTGTAGCTAATAATCTACGTATACCCCAAAATAATAAGAGCAGTTGGCAAACTGTCACTGCAGCCTTAATGCTGTGAAGCATGAGCACGAGCAAATGACTGCTGTTGCGTGTTGCCTAAAGTCATTGTATCGTATTCTTCCTGGCCAACGGACTGCTTATGATTAATATGTAGACTTAATCACATGTTTAAGCAATCTTTCAATATCAGTAGAATGGCAACAAATAATAACAGTATAGTTACTTAGTGTAGTTCATATTTCCTTTTATTGGTAAAAATACAAGCCATTATGGTAGTTTAGAGCTTGTGTTGGCATGCGATGTGTATTGCATGGGGCTTATTCGCAACTAGTTGGAAGAAAGCCCTGGACTTGGATCTTACATCCGTTGGTGAGTATCACCAATACCGTTGTTACTACCTCAATGGTTTCAGTTCGTTGTACTATTGAGCTCACACACGCTATAATTTGGGCCTTTCTTTTGTTTAGCTTTTTGTGTTTAAATTCACTGGAAAATGCCCTCACAAGCAACTGAGGTTTCTGCTTAGCTCATTCAAAGTTTCTTAGTTGAAGTGTTATTCAATCTATTTCCTGTTTTGTAAACCCCTTTGTGAAACATGAAGTTACTTGTATGGCGTTCAGTAATTCATGCATTCACTGTTCTTATTCACCTTTAGGTCCTGTTCCATATGGCTCGCAAAAATTCCAGCAAAACATGTACCCTCGGGGGTTATCTCCAGCTCCAGGAGATCAACCAAGTATGCAACCAACTAATGGGCCAAATGGGAATAGTTGTTCAATGCATCCCACAGATACAATAAATAATCAAGGCCATATGGTTAATACATACGTTGGACCACAGTTTTTTGGAGCATCCATTAGTGGACAACCTCAGAGTGCTAACAGTTTCCAAACTTTACCTGCTAGTGGTCTATACCAATCTCTTATGCAGCCAAAAGATTCTCCTGTACATATTCAAAATCAAAGTATTCAATCTACTGTAAGCGACCCTCAACAACAGTCTGCAGCTTTATTCGCTCATACTTTTCAGTTGTTAGCGGCTGCTGCAGCTTCCAGAAATATGGGTTCTGGAGCTCAAGACCTTCATATGCCTCCTGGCATTGGGCCAAGTAATAATGGATCGATATTAAATCCAACTGAGTTTGAATATATGAGACCTCCAGGTGTGCCCGTAGAAGTCCCATTCACTGGACCCCTACATCCCGATCATTTGCAGGTATTTAGTCTGATTCGATGACTTTCGACTGGCATATATTTTTCGCTTTAATTCGGTAACTTTGCACATGCTGCGCTTCCTTATTGACTACTTGCCTCGTGTTATAATTTCCAGTGTATACATTTGTGTTTCTAGTTCATTTTTATGGCAAACTGTTTTATTTTTTTATACTCAAGTTTTTGTGTCAAGTTTAGTTGTAGGTGCTGTCATATTTGACGGGATCGCTCATCGTAGAAGGTAGTAGTATACCTGTCTATTGCTAACTTTGAAGCATTAGTTTCCTCCAGTTATTTCCATGTCCTTACAAAAAAAGCTTTCCATGCAATGAGAATTAAATGTCATACTTTGTTTCTAGCTTCTGTTTGAGAACCTGTAGATATATAGACTTCAAATGAACATCCTAGTGAGTGTATGATAACATATATTTTAGAAGCATCATTCAGTGTATCACACTGTGTATTCATATCGTTTTTGGGGAGTGATGTCTTTATACTCACTCCGTATCATTTATGCTTTGCATCGATTTGCTCATCAACACTTAAATCGATTAGTTCATGTATTGTTCTTCCTATGTCGAAACAGTTGATTCCCAGTTTAATTTCCTTGGTTTTAGTTTTGATCGTATTCTAAGCTGTCTGAACGCCGATACTACTGGGAAATGATTTTTTATTTTACCTTTATAGGATTGTTTAGTCATTTGTTTTTACATACACATTCCGTTGTTTTCCTTCTTCATGACCTATTTTCTTTATAGGCATATGCAAACAACTCTTGTATTCCTGTCAATGCTACGGGAATGGAAGGTTCCGCACCTCGTCATCCTCCTATTTCTCATAATATGTTGGATTTCAAATCTATGTGTTCATCAATGCCTGCTCTTTGTTCACAGGTTTCATCGTCCGTCGTTCCATCCATCCATTCTCAAAATGCGTACCCGCCAACTGATATGATCACTCAGGATTTCCAGCATGGTGGTTTGGGCTATACAGGATTATCATCCTTAAACCCAATGACTGATCGTATGTTTCAATCCTCCAGTAGTTTTCCGAGACCTCTGCCACCAATGTCTTCCAGTCGTATACCTTATATCCCTGTGAACACAACAGACAGTCAGTCACCACCCCAAACTCCAACAGCTATGGGTGCTCCAAGAATTAGCGTACCATCCGTGTTATCAAGACCTCAAATACCCACTTCAAATATGTATGGTAGCCGCAGTACTGCACCACCTCCTTTCTCTTCCATACATGCTCCTCGTTTTCCTCCTCGCGGTCCAACTAGTTTTCCACAACTTAATTTGCCATTCATGCCTCCGCCAATTCCTCCTTATCCTCATGCACGTCATTTGCAGCAGCCTCCACCTGTTCTTCCACCTCCAGGATTTCTACCGGCAGCACGTCCTCCTCGTCCTGGAACTAGTACTTCATCTTCTGGCCTACACACAAATAATACTGCATCTTCAGGAAACAGATCAGGTCATACGAACACTAGTAGTAGATTTCCTAAAGACCAGCACCATTCTACATCATCACAACCTAATGCTCCTGTTCCTATGATGACACTTGCATTTGCTGCGTCACAGCAGCAGGGCTCTGGAGTTACTCCTGGTTTTGGAATAAGGCATCCACCCTCAAATCATAACTCTCATTTTCAACCTCCTTACTTTAATTTTCCTACGGATTCAAGTGCAACTGCTAATTTCCAACAGAATCCGTCTTATCTTAATCCTTCAAATCCTCCACCATTGCCTATTAATAGCATGTTACCGACAGGAGCAACAAATGGTGCTACTCCAGAACGGAGTCGTTTGTTAGAAGAATTTCGGTATGTAATTTAGTAATCCAAGGTTTATAATTCTTTTTTTCAAGTTTTTTCAAGTATAGATTTTTTTATTGTATCACCTTGATAGAATGATCACTTGTTATCTGTATTCAGAAAGCTTCAGTAACTCTGGTTCTACTTATTTTAGGGATTAGATATATAGTGTGCCTGCTATTATATATATATATATATATATATATAGTGTATAATTGCATATTGTAGTATATTATTATTCCCTTGGGTTCCGAGTGAAACAACTACACATCCCCTCTTTGTTCTATTTTCTGCCGCCCCCCTTAACTAGACCCACAATTTCCCATAATCTCTCATCTCCTCCATTTCACCATGAGACTACCCACTTGTCGTTTCCCATTCGAGTTCCACTCGAGCAATGGCCTGGCGCACGATTTCATTCGACAGTCTACTCAAAGTGTGCCCAATCCATCTCTATTTTCTTCTACATATTTGTTAAACGGCAGGTTCTTTTGTAGTACATTACACCATAAAATTTTCAAATTTTCCGCTTATTAACAACTAGTCATGACTACTAGATGTATAATTGATTGCATCTCTTTACAGCAGACAATATTCTTCAATCTTTCAATCGTACTCAGTCATTTGTCCTTACTGGGCTACCAAGTCACTTTTTTATGGCTTCTGTTCTTTTCTACATTCGTAAGGTATTGCGACTAAAAGTGCATAATGTCGAGGTGTCAATGTTGAACCATCAGTATTATAAAATGACAATTTCAAGTTTATTGCGTGTGTGTGTGTGGGGGGGATAACTTTTTGAGGTAATAATCACAGAAGAAAAGTTTGAGGGTGATTAGGTAAATAGATGGGAGCGGACCATGGGGAGCTTGATATTTGATATGTCGTACAGAGAACAGATTCCAACGTATATATACATATATGTATCATTAAGATGTACATCAGAATATCTTATTATTGTCCACTGTCAAAATCACATCATTTGTCCTGAGTCGTTTTAAATAGAGAATATTTTCGGAAATGATAGTCTTAAAAACTTTGTTTTCGATGAATAAGCCCCACTGCATCAACTCGTACAGGTAGGTAGCCGGTTAATATCACTTACCCTCGAAACATTCTGTACGACTTGTCCAATGTAAGTAAACATCCTCACATGGTTACTTGAATGTATTATCCTTTTTATTTTAAATCATCGCTATTATTTGATGTTTGTAAGCAATCGGCGGGTAGCTTTGGGTCTAGGTTTCATGCCAGTTGGCACTCGTCAGCAGGGCGTATCTGCAACCCTGAAGGAACTCATGTCCCTTGTGAAATTTGAACCCACGTCACCCAGTGCTGCAGGAGGTCATCGCTATTCGTTTTTATTTCCACTGTTATATGTAAATATGTTATGTATAAAATGTTGTATCTGATTTATCTTTCCTTTCAGCAATTCACGATTACCTTGTTTAACACTGCGTGATTTAATGAACCATATAGTTGAATTTGCTCAAGATCAGTATGGTTCACGTTTTATTCAACAGAAGTTAGAACAGGCTAGTGCTGTTGATAAAACTAGTGTATTCCGTGAAATTCTTCCGCATGCATACAGTCTTATGGTTGATGTATTTGGTAATTATGTGATACAAAAGTTTTTTGAATTGGGAACACCAGAACAGAAACAAGTAAGAGGAACTTTTTGTGTAGATATGTCAGCAGTTTTATATTATTATTATTATTATCCTGTATATAACCGTTTTTTAAATTTCAGTCGTCAAGTTTGAATAAGCTGGTGTTCTGTGGTTTCTGATTGTGTTTGGGTTGAAATACAGATTCATCACTTGTCGAATTAACTGCGTCGATTCCATTAGGATACTACTTCACTTCAGAACACTCAGAAAGCTTCTCTTGCACACTACACTAACAAATCATTATTCTCAAAAGTAGTCTGTGTAACTGTCACTTCTCTGCTGGAATCAAGCCGTTGTCATAGTATAGACAATTTCGTTTCGTAGCAAATGAATTCCATCGGTAGTCATGCAGAATATATCTAAGTGGTATAATATACAGTTCACGATAAGGCATTCCAAATGTTTGTAAGTGTGCCTCACTTCATCTCATTAGCTGTAAGCATGTGTGATTGGCCTAATAATAGCCTTAAATACAACTGAGTGAGGGTATGTGGTAATCTTCAATATAGCCTAGTCGTCTAACGCATACCAACAGCACTTAAGATTTGCATTCTTGATTCAATCAATATTTCAGGTCAAAATTTCCTGGGATTCTTTGATTCTGTTAAAAATGTCTGTTTTCTGCGAAATAATCTCACTCAATGTTTGCTTAGTAAATGATTTAGCAGTGTGTTGACTTTTTGCAGTGACAGTGTGTGGTAAGATAACGAAATTCCAACTTTAGGTATTTAAGCTATATTCAATGTACATTTCTTCATGAATCGACCGCAACACATTTTGACAGCTATTTTAAATGGATGTCCTAAAGTTCTAACGGTAAAGTCGTGTTCAGTGGGATTTTACATATCAGATTGAAGTGTATATCCATCGCGAATTGACGGGTTGAAACTCCAACTCAGTGGACTGGCCTTATAACCTGAAGGCTCTGGGTAGCACTGTGGAAGTGTCCCGAATTGGGGCGAAACAGATGTCCAGCACTTCTTTGTTGTCGACAATTCTCGTGACTATATCTGCACTGAAATGAAGAAATATCGAAAGGATGAACCAGTTAACACCTGTTAAAGCATGTCCACATTCTCAATCTTTAGTCTGCATATATTCATATTCGATATTAATTTCAATTGTTGAATCTATGAAACGTTCAGTCGACATTCATTTGTGTGCATTCGACTAAAAGTCTTATATTCTAACTGGTAGTAAATTACCAATCAATTAAAACCGCTTTCACCAGACAGCTAAGACCACTTAGTATGCTCATAATATATTTTTCTTAAAACACTTGGAAGTCGTTGGTTCCCAGCATTCATACATTTCTGACTATAAAAGTTGAGGCTATTTACTTAGATAATGGCTAACAATCATATCCAAAAATGGTGTGTCTTAATGCAAGGTGTAAATTATAAATGAAGGTGGTTTCAGGTGTATATTCACTTGATGAATAGTCCTTGGACAAGAATCAAAGTTATAATAAAATATGCAAAAAGGTAAGTGCTATGGTGGATAAAGATCAGAGGAACCATCGTATTCCATACCTTCCGAAAGATAAAAAATTATATTCATACTAGGTGTCAAGATTAGCAGTATGCAAATAACATTTAGACTCATTTAGACCTATCATATTAACTGCTACTCTGATAAAAAGCTCATTCGTATAACTATTATTTAGTTTTATAATTTGAGGTGAAATTTTTAATTAAAGTGTCCATTAGTTATTCACTGAACTGAATATTCCTTGTGGAACTTACCACAAAATTCAGCAGTTCAATTTGCTCTGATTCATAACAACTTCACACATAAACGTAGGGAAAAAATGCTGTGAGACTTTGTTAAATGTTTTAATAGATCTAGACTATCAGAAAAAGTAAACGCATTCACACTTCTGAGCGCAATTCAGGGCCGTATCACCAACAGTCTTCTCTCTCTGGTTCCCAGCGTTTCGATGACCCCAAACAGATAGTCTACACTTCCTTACGTGGCTCCAACTTTCAATCAAGCTCTTTATGAATTGATGTTATGTTTTGATTAAACCAACCCCCCAAACCATGTCGGCTAATATAACATATCGAGAAAGCCGGTGACTTGAGCTGTCTACTGCATGTTGTAGCTATCGTAATCGATGCAGTTCCGTGACCTCATCGATTGATTTTCCTTCCTTGTCTAAAACGCTACACCTTACGTCATCATGTTTGTCTGTTTTCGACATAGGACTTTGCACCGATGTACACCAGTTCAAGTCGCCACACTCCCTCCTTGTAGCGCACAATGCAAAAGAAAGTACAAGAAATGCATAATAGAGACAGTAAACAGAGCTGTGAGACAAAGGAATAGTAATAACGTAGAACAAAACAGTTTCATTGGAAATCATAAGTCACAAGGAGTGGATGCATCTTCGCCAGCCATCATTGAGAACGATCACTTTGAGCCATGTCACCAATTGTCTCCAGCCTTCATTGGTGTTTACCGTCCCTGGGACCCCAAACAGGAAGCCAGTCTACACCTTCCTACGTGGCTTAAACTAACTGTTGTGGATTTCATTGACTGACGAAGCCATGTTTTAGTTTAATCACCACTGGCTCTTTTCCAACTTGATCCATCGTACGTCAGCCAACATCGCCCTTTGGTCGAGGAAGGCGATGACTAGGCATCCACGCGTAACACATGTCCTAACCATCTCAGTCAATGCAACTTCACAACCTGGTCCCCTCCTTAACAGCCTAGCTCTCGACGCCTAACCTCAACATTGCTCACCCTATTATACCACTTGACACACATGGGAGATAGAGCGCAGGCACCTGTGATCAAAGACAACTAGCCAGGCTTTTCATGTCCTTCACTCTCAACGGCCACGTTTCTCTCACAGCCATAAAGGCGGACGGAGCGGATTGATGAGCAGTACACACGCCCTTTGGTCGATAGCCGGATATCACGTCCACGCCAGAGACGGCGTGAACTGGCATATGCGAAACTAGCCCTCTGTATCCATAGTTAGATTTCATCGGAGATCAACCCGTTGGCACTGGCTGATGGTACTTCCCAAATAAGTGAAGCGGTCAACCAGCCCTACCACTTCGCTCCCTATTTCTAATCTAGGAGTCAGTGTGGTCCAGTCCTGTAACATCATCTTACATTTGGCGGGAGCGAATCGCATGCCAAACATTCGAAGATTTCTGCTGATCAAAGCATTCAGAAGACTCTGGATTTTGTCAGCGTCCTCGCCTAGAAGGACTATATCGTCTGCATATTCTAAGTCAACAAGATTATTCCCTGGCAGCAAGTCAATCCCTGAGTCCCTGAAGTGAGTTAGGGTTAAATCCATTAGTACGTCTATGATGAAATTGAATAGAAATGGGGATAATGGGCATCAAAAGTCATCATGGCTGGTCATATTATGCCACTGAACATGCGGAGGTGAACACAGAACCTATCACTTATTGTAAAAAAGAAATAGTAAATCCAACTTCTTTTTCTTGTATATCTATTCAATTTTGGTAATTTCTTTGATTTTATAAGGGTATACCAAATCACCTCTCAACAGTGTCTTAATGACAATGAATACTGTGTAAACACACTTATTTCTGCCAGACAAAAAACCAATTAAAAATTTATTATCTCTATGTATATAGATACTAGGTCAAAGAATTCGTGGACAAGTACTCTCCTTATCCCTTCAAATGTATGGTTGTCGGGTGATACAAAAAGCTGTTGAATCTGTTCCATTAGACATGCAAATATCTATTATTAAGGAATTGGATGGTTGCGTAATTAAGTGTGTTAAAGATCAGAATGGTAATCATGTTGTACAGAAATGCGTGGAAAATGTTCCCCCAGAACATTTACAATTTATAGTGGATGCTTTCAAAGATCATGTAAGTTGTGTGTATAAAAGTATAATATGCCTTTTTTTGTTCTCTCTCTCTCTAATTACTTTGCGTTCCGAGTGGAACACAGGACTTCAGACTTGAGTTTTTAAGTTTCAGTAGTGTTAGTGCCTTTTTAATGAGGTGGGGGACTGCTTGCCTTACCATCAACTACCTTTTTCGGGCTTATTACAGGCTAAGCGAAGTTTAAGAGTGCGTCTACTGGGAATCAAGCCCGCAGCACGTGTATGGTTGGCAACCATCCTACCAATGAACCACTGATGCACAATGATACGCCGCATAGTGAAGTAGAATTCTGAGTGTATTCATTATATTTATTAATAATTTTTCCTCAAAATGATTTTTCTCCTGAGATTTAGTAATTATCCCAAATAACTATATGCATATCTGACTCGAAAATAACACGACATATCCATGTCTGTCAACATCTATCAGCTTTGTTTGTTTGACTCTAAATTATTCTGAAAAAAAAGATCTTTTCTTTACCAGTCTATATAAACTACACAATCATTGTGTGAGGGCTGATGAAAGTTCATTCATTCATTGCATGATGATCACGATACTTAGCGAATCGCCATCACAATACACCTCTGAATGGTTGTTAGATGGTTGAAGGCAATAAACAGGAAGTCTTAGATTTAGATTTCGTGATAACTTCTCTGACAGGGCAGCACTGAGTGGCCCAGGTTGGAATCTTAGAAGGGACATGCGTTCCTTCAAGATTGCAAATATTCTTGCTGACGATTGCCAGCAAACACAGAACTTAGATCCAAGGCTTCCTGCTGATTGCTTCCATCTATCTAAGAAGAATATTCACTGCATTAAGTCGAAAAATGTAATTTAAAATAAAACTGGTACATTAGAGGAACTACAGAAGTGTTTCTCTCGTATTGTATGTACGTCGGTGGCGCAGTGTTTAGGACTCTAGCCGACCATTCACATGGTCCGGGGTTCTATCCTCTGCCGACGCATCCCTGATATCTATGGTCGGCCTACAAAATTTGGGCTACCAATATCACATGCTGAAAATTCCATACCTGTACCAAAAAATACGGTATGGAATCAAGCTGTAATCAAAATTTTAAAAAATAAAATGAACTGTATAATAATAATAGGATGTTTAGAGTATTAGTTGAGACGAGCAACCGAGTTTCAAAGGTTGAAAATAAATTGAGTTGTGTTTTCTACCGACCTACTGTCCTTATTTGATAAATGGTAACTATAAGAATCCCTATGCAGCTCGCACACATCGCGCAAGAGCTGATAATACTCCATCCAGTTGTCCGGGCTAGTGTTGTAGGTGCAGTGGGACTCGAACCCGTCATCTGCTAACTGCAAGTCACATCTCTATATAATCAGTAGAAATAATTTGTTTGTTTAACTATCGACTAGTCACCTCAAAGAAGATATTGCATAAATTTATATAATCTTGAGGCTTATCAAATATTTTGGGGTCAGCCAAATTGTCGAACTTAGAAATTATGGAACTCTGTAGTGAATACCTTGAAACCCGATAACTGTTCCTATTTCATATGCTGCAAGATTAACGGTTTTAAAAAATGTGGCTGTGGATGATGATGAAGCACCCCAGAAAATTATGATCATCAACTACTCTGGTGAAAAAGATCGTCTTGGTCATTGTGAAGAACTGCATTTCAATCCTTCACAGTGTCATTTTGTGTAATAGAATAACTGTTCACATTGAAATCAAGAAATACCTTCATATATATGTTTTTGATTCCTTTCTAGGTGTATTCCATATCAACCCATTCATATGGATGTCGTGTGATCCAGCGCATCTTAGAACATTGTACACCTGAACAAACTACTCCAATACTGTCTGAGTTACATCAACACACTGAAGCGCTTGTTAAAGATCAATACGGAAATTATGTTATTCAGGTAATGTGGGGTTTTTAATTTTTTAATTTTGATACTCTAATGTCTGGTAGCTTTCTTATGCTGGCTTAAACTTAGTGACCAAGTGCCAGGCTGTAAGCCACACTTATTTTGTTAAATTCTGATGATGCTACTTAGTCTCTGAGGCTGAAGTAGTTGGGGCGAATTTCGAACTCTTGACCCATTAGGTGGAAAGACTGCACTAGCCAATGAATCACATCTCTTCATATATATATATATATATTCCCTTTGATAGATTTGAATAAGGCATTTAAAAGACAAATATCGTGAGATGATATTTTTATTTCGTAGTTTCTTTACAACCGCTTTACAACTAACATGGTTAACAATAATAAAATAAAGATCATGACAATTATTCAGTTATATAAAAAACAAAAGTGCATACTAATGACCAATCGTATTTAAATAAGTAATCCATAGTAGGCGAAGATTGAAGTCTATTGTTTTTGTACACACAGTTTAGGCTGTACGTGATTAATCCAAAGTGCTTCCACCACCTTTAATAACCAACCTTAAATTAAAGTTATATGAAATAATTGTGAAACAGTCATTATCATGGATTTTGTGACCTGACATTAATAAGTGTTTTGGAATGGATGATGCCGGGTTTCCATTCAGATGAGTAGCGTTGGGATTTTCTATATGACTCAGTAGCCATTTTGAAGCATGTTCTTTTTGACGACATTGGAACATTCTGTTGGTTCCACCCATATAGGTGTCACCGCAGCTGCAGGTGAACTTATAGATACAGTTTAAAGTAGAGTCCACAGAATTTCGTCCTTGAATCGTAGGTACAGGGATCAAAAATGTTCAGCAAGTGAGAAAAAACAGATGAGGCGTAGAATGTGCGTTTGATGGCTTATGGAAGTCTTTGAGCTAGCTGTCAGTTGCATAATCTGGTCACCCTTGAATGGTAGGTTAATAAAGATAGCTTTCTTTGGTACAGAAGCTGTCTTTTTTAGATGTGGACAACTGATGAAGTTTTCTTGATAAGTATTAGCTAATAAAACTGAATATATATTTGGAAGCTCATCCATCAATGTGTCTCCCGTGCATATTTTGTGGGCCCTTGAGTACAAGCATTTCACTCACTGGGGAACGTTTATACTGGATAGGAACAAAACTGGTGAAATAAAGATATTGTCTACTCCATGTCTGTTTATGAAAACTAGATCGCTGAATCGTTCCATCATCTCTCCTGGTGATTGTAATATCCAGTTTGTTATTCTAGTCTAGTTCGGAAGTCACTCGGATATTTAGATGAATATGATTAAATAGGGTAATAAAGTTTTCAATAGATTCACTATTATTTCCAATACTGAGTGTATCATCTACATATCGTTTATACAGCATACATTCTGCAAACATACCTCACCTTGCATTTGTTTCTCCAATTTCGACATGATATCATCTCGCGAAATTTGTCTAAATGCCTTATTCAAATATAATATTCTGCTCAGACCAAGTAGCCAGAAACATTTTGCAATCTGATCTTCTCCTACAACTTTCTTATAAAGTATTTCTAGGACTCGTCTGTTTGCCTAGTACTGTTGCATTTTTTTGCATAACATTTACCTGCGATCGGCTTGAAACGCACAGTTTACGTTCCAGAAACTTCTCCTGGTCACCGCTGATTTATATTTTTTTATGGAAGAATTCGATTTTAGTCACTTATAAAATGGTTTACTTTGTGACTGACTGCGGGTTATTAATAACTTCCTTTACTGCTTAATAATTTCACTTCAAACCATGCAAACTGTCTAGCAGTTTGTTGTGGTATACTGTACGGTTTTGAGGAATGGCCGCTGAAAGCAAACATAAAAAATTGAATTGTGGAACTTTGGCGATAGGGTGTGCCATTGTAATGTCGAGTAAAATACGACTGATCCCTATGGGTTTAGAGATATATGGTATTATGTTAGGTCTGTCTGTCTGGATTCAACATAGAACTTGGTACCGAAGTGCACCAGTTCGAGTTGCCACGTTCCAAATAGCACATAGAGGTAGACAAGAAGATGAGTGAAGAGAATCAATACAGTTTGACAAGTATAAGAGTGAAACAGAATGGGTAATGGTAGAAAGGAATATGAAAGATTACAGAGACTGAATACATCTGCGCCATTGACAACGATTTTGAGCCATGTCACCTATTGTCTCCAGCCATTGATTCCTAGAGTCCCGAGGGCCCCAACCCGGAAGTCTGCATCTCCCTACCTGACTCAGTTTAACTGTCAAGGATTTCATGGATTGATGAGGCCATGTTTTTGTTTGGCCACCACTGGCTCTTTTCCAACCTGAACCTATATCAGCTAACAATGCCCGTCGGGGGAGGCGGTGGTTAGGCATGCGCACCACGTGACCTAGCCATCTTAGTCTATGTAACTTTATAACCTCGTCGATTGATTTTCCCTCTTTGCCCAACACTCTACGCCTAACGTCAACATTACTTATCTTGTGAAACCACCTAACGTGAGACAGAGATCGCAGACATCTATGATCGAAAGCAGTCAACCTTTTCATGTCTTCAACGCGTATTGGCCATGTTTCAGAGCCATAGAGAAGGACGGAGCGAACTGATGAGCAGTACACACGTCCCTTGGTTGATAACCGGATGTCACGCCTACGCCAGAGATGGTGTAAGTCAGCGAAAGCAGCTCGAGCTTTTCGGATCCGTGCTGAGATTTCATCGCCAATCAGTCCGTTGGTGCTAATACAACTTCCCAAATAGGTGAAGTGGTCAACATGTTCTATCACTTCACTCCCTATCACTAAGTTAGGAGTTGACGTGGTCCAGTCCTGTAGCAGCATCTTACATTTTGTAGGGGCGAATCGCATGCCAAACATACGAAGATTGCTGCTCAAGGTGTTCAGAAGACTCTGCATTTTGTCAGCATCCTCCCCTAACAGGACTATGTCATCTGCATATTCTAAGTCCATAAGACTATTCCCTGGTAACAAGTCGATTCCTAAGTCATTACGTTCAGTTAAGGATACTTCCATCAGCATATCTATGATGAAGTTAAACAGAAATGGGGAAAGTGGACATCCCTGTCGGACACCACTGGTTGTTACCAATTCAGATGACAATTCCCCATAAGCCCTTACACGACTACGTGAGTTTGAATAGAGTGCCTTGATTAGTGCAATGTACTTTCTTGGCACTCCCTTCACAGTCAGACATTGCCATAGTACCTTTCGATCCACGGAGTCGAAGGCCGCCTTCAAGTCAAGAAATATGACAATTGTTGGACGCCGAAAAGTGTGTCTATGTTCTAGAATCTGTCGAAGAGTGAAGATATGATCTATGCACCCTCTACCTGGTCTAAAGCCTGCTTGATTTTCCCTTGTCTGTTCCTCCCGAGTTCTGCTTAGTCTATGCATGATTACTGAGCCTAGGATTTTAGAGACTATGTTCGTTAGGCTGATCCCCTATGATTATCACACGAGGACTTGTTTCCCTTCTTGAATATCGGTATAATAAGTGACTTACCCCAGTCTGATGGCACTGTCTCTGATTCCCAGACTTTGCCTAGTACCTCAGTTAATCTACAAACTAGTATGTCACCCCCATATTTAAACACCTCCGGAATAATTCCGTCGGGTCCTGCCGCTTTGCCTCGTTTCAAATTACTGATAGCTTTTGTGACCTCACTACAGACGGCGGACCAGTGTCTATATCCCATTCGGGTGTGGTGGATGTCGGGGAGGTTCAGTGTGGCTGTAGGCAAGTTAAATTGTTCCTCAAAGTGTTCTTTCCAGCGTTCAAGGCGTCTATCCTGAGAGCTAATTAAGGAGCCATTTTTCTCAGAAATAGTCTCACTTATGATTGCCTTCTCCCCCCGTTTCTGATGAGTCTAAAGAGTTGCCTAGTGTTGCCTATCGCCGATGCTTTTTCCATCTCTTTCGCCTTTGTCAGCCACCACTGTTCACGGTCCTTGCGGAGACTTTTAGTAAGTTTCCTTTTGTGCAGCTTTCGCTCCTCATTGAATTCGGAGCTCGCCGGAATAAGTCTTCTAGCATCTATCAGTTCGGATGAGGCAGTCGAAATCCAGTGGTTTTTACTCACCTTTGGATTTGCCTTATTCACAGCTTTTACAGCTGTATCTATGGCTGACTGAATATTCTTCCAGGCTTCTCCAGGGTGAGCACAGCTGTCGAACTCAGATATGCGTTTAGCTAGTTCTTCCTCAAATAGGGATTTAGTTTCCTGATCGAGCTGGGGACGTGATGGTTTTACCGCCAGCTGTTTCCTACGTCCGTTCAGTCGTAAGCACACACGAGCCCGGACCAGTGCGTGATCGGTATCTACACACGTGTTCCAGAAGGAGCGACAATCTCCTACCGACCCACGCCAACGATAGCTTATTGCTATGTGGTCTATTTGTGTCCAGCGTTGGTTTGATGATGGGGGTCGCCAGGTTAAACAGTGTCTCTCCTTGTGTTTAAAGTTAGTGCTTACAAGAAACAAATGATTATCTGAACAGAACTGTAGGAGACGGTCACCGTTGTCGGTTCGCTGGCACGGAACTCCATAGGTGCCACCGACATCCTTCTCAGATTGACACAATTTCCCTACTTGAGCATTAAAGTCACCAGCTAGAACGACTATATCTGAGCGTTTAGCCTTTCGCACCAAACTAGACAGCTTTTGGTAGAACTCATCCTTCGTTTCATCCGAACTGCAGTCAGTGGGGGCGTAGGCGGAGATTACGAAAAGGCATCGGCGAGTAGTGCAGTCCTTTCTCCTTCTTACTGATCCGTTCAGACGGACAGCACACATTCGGCTATCTACCGGGATCCAGTCAAGTAATGTCTTTTCTGCCCTAGTACTCAAGCTATCCCTACGCCAGCTAATCCTCGTGAACTAGCTGTGGCATCTCCTGACACCCTCAAGGTGAATTTTGAAGATTCATCCTGTTGGCCAGGTGGGGTTAGGTGAATAACCACACTTGGGTCTTGTATGCGTGTTTCTGAAACACAACATACATCAATGGCTCGAGATGCCAGGGTCTTAGCTAGTGATGCTTGTTGTCCTATTTGGCAAAGTGTCCTAACATTAAATGCTCCTATATGAAATTGGTGGCGTGGCTTTAGGAGACTATCGGTGGTGGTTTTTTGGCTTCCGTCGTTTTTAGTGGACACAGAGTGAAGAGGGAGTGAGGAGCCATCAAGTAGAGGAGTTGCATCAGTGGGAGGAAGGCAAGGTAATAGAGATGAAGATGAAGACAAAGATAAGTGAGGATTAGAGAGGTTTTGTGTGCATTTCGGATTGTGAGGGCGTTTGTTACTTCCCGGCTGCCCACACCGTGGAAGTTGGTTGCGTGACCGCAGAGCCCAGGGGACAACTGCTTGAGGCCGGTCACACGCGGCCTGTTTTTGTTTGTTCTCTTTTTGTTTGGTGTGCCTCAGTAGCATACTTATCACTCCTGCCCTGTGACACGGCAGCAGGAAGCGCGGTCGTTGTTAATCCGGGCCACGGCCGATCCGGCATGAAATTTTGTGAATTTGTTTGGATCATGGTATTGGATGGGTAGCTGCTTTTTGTTTAACCGCTATCCAAACAACCTGCCTGGCATGGTAGAACCTCAAGAGACATAAGTCTCAGCCAGTATAGCTTGATTAGGTCATTGCGGTGTTCAAGCCCGACCACCACGTCAAGGTAGCAGCTTTCGGTCGGGTAAGGAGGTTAAGTTAAGAAACAAGATTGTAAAACATTGAGTTCGTCTGTCAGCTTTCTTTTGGATGACATTCGAATGTCTAAGGAAGTGAAGCGTAAATACTCTACTCCAGTCACAGATACTCATAAGCTTAATTTTTGAAACTGAAACGAACAGAACGTGTACACTTGTTTAAAATATTTTTATTGACTTACTATTGCTGATTAAAACACAAACTTAGTACATTGTGAACACAAAGGGATGTAGCACACAAAACCTCATAGTTTCTGCTAGGTCTGCACTACTACCTGCATGCCCAGGCTGTGTTGTCTTAAGAGGTCACCCTTTGGCCTATGACTTTAAAGCTGATCCACAAGGGAGTGGAGCAGTGGTCATAAACTGCTTTCATGCGGTGATCAAAGCAGGATCACACACCATTCTATCCTTTCGGATTCTTGAACCAATATACATACCATAGATTTGAAATCAAAGTTTGTAGCTCTCCTAGATAGACCCAGATATCCACCAGTCAGGTTGGAAGTGCTAGACGTACGCATTCGCCTTTTTACTATTTTTTGGAACACTCTGTGTGAAAGCTATGAATAGGACTTACCCGACAGAGGCTATGAACGCTTGTCCACACGCGAGCATTTGGAGGCAGTTGGGACCAAAGTCTACCCACTTTTGGTAGTACCAGGTTGTTTATAGGGACTTAACATATTTTCTGATTCCTGTTTCATGGGGGACGACTCTCAAGGTTGTGAACGCTAGTGGATAATACTCTGGCGTTTGGGACAATGAGTGTTGCAGTCTCATGTTCCGATGCAAACGCCGTCACTCATCGGGATTGCAAACAAGTCTAAATATGCCTCTAAGATTCCAGTATTAGCGACCTCCAACCAAATAATACTCTGGTGTACAGGAGATGGTACACCACTATGCTAATATGTGTATTTCTTTTCTTTTATTTCAGCATGTACTCGAACATGGGAAAACTGAAGATAAAAGTAAAATTGTTGAACATATTAAAGGTCGTGTAGCTGAGCTTAGTGTGCATAAATTTGCCAGTAATGTAGTTGAAAAAGCTGTTGCAAACGCTTCAAGAGTAGAACGTCAATCGCTTATCAATGAAGTACTTGAAGAAACAACTATTCCAACAGATAATACAACTGTACAAAATGGTCGAGTTCGTTCAAGTGAATTTAGGGTAGATAATAATAATGATGATGATGGTGGTGAAAATGGTGATGATGATGACAGTGCCAGCGATGAAGATGAAAGTGTTGATGAACCAAGAACCCGAAGTTCTGTTTTAGTTATGATGATGAAAGACCAATTCGCAAATTATGTTATCCAAAAAATGTTAGATGTCGCTGAACAACCAATAAGAAAAGAGCTTATGACTCAGATTCGTCCACATTTGAATACCTTGCGCAAATACACTTATGGTAAGCATATAATCAATAAAATGGAGAAGTATTATATGAAAACAAATCAATTACATCTAGCTGTTGGTTTAAATTCACCGTCTCCACCTCTTGGTGGTGTACCCGCCGCCTCTTCATCAGATGTCCCACAGTCGACATCAAATTCCACTGGTCGAAGTGGTGGGAATACGCATGGTGGTGGTGGTAGTTCATCAGCTGCTTCAATGCTCCCACCACTTCTCACACCAACTGATATGGCTGTACGAGCTTCAAAGCCAATATCAATGAGTCGTTCTACACATTCACATCATTATCACACTTCGCATTATAATAACCAATCGGGTTTGTCATCATTTTCACGCAACGGTTTACCGTCATCATCATCACATCGTATAAAACAAAAAGACTCAAATAACAATAATAATTCAAATTCAGCGGCCTCCTCTCGAAAGACTTCAAATGATGGTGCACAATTAAACTCCTCTATGCAAACATCGGATAGTACTAAGAATTCATCGAAGGTAGTATCAAAAGCATCTGAAAATACCAATGATGAATTGGGAGTGGATAGTGAAAATGCTAATAATAATGATAGTAACAAAGGAGGAGTCAGTTTGAATAATTCTAAAGATAATCATGAAAAACACAATTCAGACATGAAGTCATTCGATTTAAATCAGACTTCATCTTCATCCACAGTCGCTGATGATTGTTACAGTCAAAAATGGGAGAATACTAATGATGCTGCAGAACACAGTGTTGTATCAAATCACGACACTAGTGACCAATTACTGCATGAATCAGCCAGTGAACAGTTGTCGAGTATATCATCAAATGAAGTACATGTTTCAGCCTTGAAGAAACTCAACACTACAACAACATCGTCAGTTACTAGTAGTAGTACTCCTACGACATCTAGCCTAAAAAGTGGTGAAGGAAATAGTGTAAAGTCAAGGCCACCTACAAATGAACTAATGACCAACGGGAATGGTAATCATCATTAATCTGTTCTCTTTCTTTTTTTAAAAAGTTTCTCTCGCATGTATTCTCTCCTTTCCTCTAAATTTCTCTCCTCTATATGTCTAGAAGTTTATTTTTTGGCTTCGTATATCTTGTGCGCTTTATTCTATTATCCAGCTTTTTATTTATTTATTTTGTTTTGTTTTTCGTGCAATTTTATCATCATTTGGCAGTGGTGGGTCTTAACACCTTTTTATTTAAAAACAAAATTAAAATTATTTCTTAAAGGTTTTATCCTCTCCCATGCACACACACACACACAAATATTTTATTGCTAGCACATCATTTTTTCCCTCTGAACTAATCTTCATTCTTCTCTTGGTGCTCATGGCTCTGAGTAGTTTTTATTTATTATTATTATTATTATTATAATTTTTAATATCGTTTAATTAGTATAGAATACGAAGGAGTAACCTTTCCTCCCTCCTGTATAAAGCGAAATTCCCTTTCATTGTGTATTGTGTACAGCAGGAGACATTGCTAACTATTTAAGTAATTGATGAACTAACTTTTGTTTCACTCATTCTTCTTTTACCATTTTCTGTTTTGGTAAATTCCTTTCTATCCAACCTCTCTCTCGTATTTTCCCCTTTTCTTTACTCCTATCCGAAAAGCAATTATAACCTCTGCGTGTGTCTGTGTTTATGTATATCTCATCATAGACTTTTCTTTTGACTGGTTTTTATCCTTGCTTAACCCTATGTACTATTTGATGATTATGCACATATACATATATATATGAATGAACATTTATATTATTTTAGCATATCAAATATCTTTTGTTTGTTTGAGTATTTTTTTTTTAAATCTTCAATGAAGTATTCTGTACCTTATCAACATCATCGTCATCATGGTCACACCAATCGGTTTTATTTTATTTATTGCCTAAAAAACTGTATATTTTATTTATTTCTTTATTCATTTATTCGACTCTTGAGCATTCTCTTTTTTCTTTCTCTCTCCCTGTAAAATTCGCCTACTCCTCTTCCCGTCATTTGATGGTGATTCATGCATGGGATTGTTTCTTCTCATGTCTCTGTATGCTTTGTATGCTACCACGCATCATCGACCGACCGACCCACCCACCCACCTTTTTTCTCTGTCTGTATCTCTCCATCGGTATGTATCTGTGTCAACTGGCTTGGGCATCATCGCCACCAACACCACTCTCCTCATCCACCTGTAAATCTGTGTATCTTTCAAGTACAAATAAAATATGATTCTTTTTCTACTGATTTGCAATAGCAGCAACAACAACACCACCAACCAATATTAAATAATGATGAATGATTAACTGTCATTTAATCACTTCAAACTACATAGTGTTTTGGGGTTCTTTTTGTGTATACCTCCTCTGTCTATAAAAAAATAATGTATATCTATGTAGTAGCATTAGTGGTAGTAGTGTATGTGTGTAGAGGTGCATGTCTGATGCATATGATCTTGTTGTGTGGGCCCATTTCATTTTATCATTATCTATCTATCTCTTAGTTCTTTGTGATTCACTTTTAATTCAATGAAATTTTAATGTCTAATTCTTCTTCTAAATCTTCTTCTTGTATGTAATTGTTGTAGATTATTTGTCGTATATATTAAATATATATGAATCTCTCTTTTATTTATTTTTAATGAATAATTATGCATTATACATACACATAAATACGCATATTCTATAATTACACTTGTGTATTATATATACCTACACACATACATACATGCATATATTTGGTTTGATTTTTTAAATCTTTGTACACTGGAACCTTTTCTCATGGTCTTCATTATTTTTCCTCCTTCCCCTTCCCCCATATATATATACAGACGCACATACACTCATGCATTCGTGCGTGGGAATTGGAAACCTTGGTAGAAAATCTATCGCTTACCTGTTACTGTTACTGCTATCACCACTACGATTCCTTGTCTTTGTCTGTCTCTGTAACCTTTTTGATATTCTGTAGTGAACCGAAGTACCGTCCCCCCAGTTTCCACCTTCCTTTATTCTATTTTTGAAACATCTACAAATCACTTACCTTCATATAAGGTCTGTCTATCTATTTATCTATGTGTCTATATATACATATGACTCATGATATACATATATTATTCTCATGTATGTATCCTATGCTATGCTACCTTTTGTCTTCTCTATCCCCCTCGCCTTCTCTATATCTGTTTTTATCTATGTTTATATTATCAGGCAATTGTTCTTTGTTGATTTTTACTCTGTCCTAATTCTTCTGTTATATATTTATCACATACTCACACACATAATTCTGGAATGTCTTTATTCTTTGTATGTATGTATGTATTCATGTGTACTACTTAGTTTTATTATCACTTTCTCACATCTATCTATCTATATCACCGTCTATTATCTGTTATGTGTGTACAATCTGTGTATTACGTCAAATGTGTATTATTACTGCTATTATTATTTAGACACCTTTTTAAAAAAACACTTCTGCACAATGTATTTATATAATTTATATATATACATATAATCTAAATTGGAGTCTTTTAATTTTCCTTTCTTTTTCTATCTATCTTCGTAATTAATTAACATATATACATATATTATACACATACACGTATAACATATAAATTACTCTGTTGATATTATGTCTTACTTTGTGAATTATACGAAAGGTGTGGGGGGGGAGGGTAGATGGTCATTGTTATTGTTGTGCCTTGTGGAACTGGTTTTTCATATTCCAGACTGTGAGCCACATTTATTGTCTGAAGTAGATCGCATAATGGGTTTCTAAGTTCTGAACCCTTTGATTGCTTTAAACCAGTCGGTATGATATCCCGCATAGATAGGGGTGGTTGTCTGTGTAAATTGTGTTTATTCAAACCTGAAATACTGAATGATAAGTTAAATTCTGTCAGTGAATTATACCTTCATCCTTTGACAGATTCTACGATTTAGGCACACTTACCGGCGTTGCATTGTTTTTTGGTTAGAAGGCGGCATTCGAGTCAGTTGACCAGGGGGGTGCTGTAGCGTTTTGTAGTAGTGATTCGAGTGCTCGGTAAGCATATCGCACTAATCAAGGCACTCTAATTGAACTCACATAGAGGGCTTAATGACAGCTGTCATCTGAAATGGTGTCCTCCAGGGATTCCCTCTGTTCTCATTTTCATCTAATTTCATCATAAATGTATTCATGGAATTGACTGGTGACTAGGGGACTGTGCCGTCGATTTAGAGTATGCGGATGATATTGTCCTCCTATTTGAGTATGCTGATAAAATGGAGTGCTTTTTGAACACTTTGAACGGAAATCTTCGAATGTTTAACATGCGATTTGCTCCTGTCAAATGTAAGATCGTGCTGCGAGACTAAACTGCATTGACTCCAAGCTTAATGATAAAGAGTGACGTTGTAGAGCGTGTTTGCCATTTCACTTATTTAGGAAGTTGCATAAGCCTCAATTGAATAATTGATGACTTAACTTCAGTACGGATACAAGAGGCTTGTGTAAGATTTGTCGACTTACTACATCTGTAGCGTAGACGTAATATCCGCTTATCGATCAAAGAATATGTGTACTGCGCAGTAGTTCGCTCTGTCCTCCTTTATGGCTGTGACACCGAAGTCTTATGGACAGCAAATCTTTAGGCTCTATCTCCCATGTTAACTGGTGTAATATGGTAATATTGAAGTTAAGTAAGGAGGAGAAGCGAAGGTGGAAAATTTGAAATAACTGGGACTCATTTTGCTTATGCGCCTAATCATCACCTTCCTCGATGAGCACGTTTAGGTAGTAAAGGGTTTTATTGAAAAAGAATTAGGGTTGGGGAGGGGTTAAACTGGAATCAATCGATAAAGTCTTCGGCAATTCGTTTGGGCCACCTAAGTAGGGGAGGTGTGGAGATCCTGGTTGTCACTATCAGGATGCTAAGGACCAATGGCTGGAAACTTGGTGATACGACACAGAGGCATTCACTCTTTGTAATCTCCTAAAAGCAATAAATCCTCATGTTTCCCGCTTAAAACTATTCCCTTTCATTTCTACTTAGTATATATATATAATATGCATGGTCAAGTCAACAAATGGAATGTCTCCAAAGATGTGTCAATAAAAGTTCTTTGTTTTGATAATAACATTAATTAAATAGAGAATAAGGCCGTAAGGAGTGAAGTAACATAATTGACAGGACTGAGTAGAGTTCAGCTTAAATTGAAAGGAATTCAAGTTAAGAACAGTGCCGTAGCGAGGGTGAAAGGTGTAATAATGACAGTAGCGAAGTAAGATTGCTGTTTGTAAGGATGAAAGGAGTACGCGACTCTACGGGTGTTGTAAGCAAATTTATAGAATGTTGCTAAACTTCAAACAAATTGAAAGAGTTTCTCATTTCCGCTGACTAACAGAGTTTCCAACTTATCACATGAGAATTTGATGGATGTTGGGAGTTTAGCATGACTGAATACATCTGCAGTATTGCAAATAATTCTGAGCCACATTGATGATTGTCGCAAGCCTCGGCTGTAGCATCCCATTATTATTATTATTATTATCGTATCCTTTAGTTCCTAGAGGAAAATAGGGCTTCAGCTGCGCACCTCCATTGTCTTCTGTTTTCTGACAACTTTTTCACCCCGCTCCAGGTCTGTCCACATGCTTTCATCTCCTCCTCGCATGACCTCCTCCAAGTCACCCTTGGACGACCAACTCGCCGCCTCCCTTTCGGGTTCCACTCGAGGGCTTGTCTACTGATGTCACTTGATGGTTTCCTCACAGTATGGCCAATCCATACTCTGAGGAAACCATCAAGCATCCTACTAGGACCCAAACCTCGTAGTCTACACCTGTTTATGTGGGGCTCGAACCAACATTCAAAGGTGTCATGGATTGATGCCATGTCTTGATTTGATCAACTCTAAGTCTTCCTACCTAATCATACATCAGCTGATATTGTTCAACAAAAATGGTGTGGTTCAACATGCGTAACACGTATCCAAGCCGGTCTGCTTCAACACTACAGCGTGCTGTGCCGAAGTCTTTATAAACCTCATTCAACAGATGGTTATATGACAGTACCATCTATCAGGTGATCCACACCGGGAAACACATCGAGGTGAAGACAAGAGAAAGACAAGGTTGGCTGCCTATCATCACTCATGATGATATTCTGTTATGTACTAGTTTTCCCCGTCGCCAAATTGTTATGGACTGGTCGAGAAACTAATAGTCCTGACGCGAGAAGGCGGAAATCAGAAGACCACTAGGTTTGCGATGATACTTCTATTGTCCAAACACAAGGAGACGAAAATAAATGGTCTCACACCAAAGTGGTAAGTAAGTAAAGTAGTTGTAAAGTAAAGTAGTTCACACAAATTGTGAATGCGAATATATATAAATAATTCAGACAAGCGTGGGAAAAATCATTAGACAGTCTTAACATGAATGGCTAATTATAATGGAGTGTCGATCCAATTATACATAGCGAATATAGCAGACATGCCAACAAACATATATGGATATATGTCACCAAGCAACGGACTGTCAACAAACACTCATATTATATATAATATAATATAAGGAGAATACACATTATTAAAGGAGACAAGTCCATACAAGTGAAGTGGTCACAGACTAACCGAGCAAACAGAAAGAGAGACCAACATGCACACACACACATAAATATATATATGTGGATACATATCACCTCCCCTTTTGAGAAGATGAATGATTAGTAGGATGTTTACCTGGGGGTTTATCTGGGACCTTTGGGCTTGTTGTTGACGCCTGTCGTTTCGTCTGATTGTTGGGTTTGCGGCTTCGGCTCCGTCCGGAATTGTCTAGCATTTTATGCTTCTTCACTGTATTGCGTAGAGAATTTAGTGGGACATCAGCCAGATGCAAACGATCGAACCAATCAAGTCCCAAAACATTTAAATCATTCTTCGTGACGTAACAAATTCCTGTGAATTTGGTATTGCGGAAGGAAACAGAACATTTGAGTTCACCAATTAGTTTGAGCCGCCCACCACAGGCGCTGAGAAGAGACTGGGAAGTATTGGTGATAGGTGGTCTGCCAATATAATTCCAAAGTTTCTCTGATATAACAGTAATATCAGAGGCAGTATCTAGCTGCAGACGAGTATCATGACCATTCATCTGAAGGTCAATATATTTCCGCATAGCTGGTGTTGTGACTTGACAGGTTGCACGTAGACTCAGTGATCTTTTTGGAGATTTAGGACCGACATTTTGTTGAGCTTTTGCTGGATTATGATATCTGAGTTGCGTGGCTGACAAAAACCATTTTTATGACCGATGATTTTGCACTTGCTGCAACGATGATTTTTGTATGGGCAAGACTTTACAAAGTGCCACGCGCCACAATGCCAGCATGGTGATGGTGGGGTCTTCTTTGCAGTATTTTGTGAAGTTGGACGAGTATGTGTAGATTTCCGCGGAACATTAGAGAAGTAGGTGGGTCAGGAGTAGCTGATGAGAGATTTTTGCTCTTGCGTAATGCACGAATATCAGAGCTTCTCGGAGGTGTTGATTCGACCAGGTGTGTGTCTTTCTGCAGATTAATCAGCCGTTGATATTCATCAGCTATGTCATGTAATGTTAACTTGGGATTTTGTTCTAGCTGATTGAGCAGTCGAGTTCGGATATCTGTGAAACGAGGAGATTGGAGACTGCATATGAGAATCAAGGCTTTGAACTGATCATCTGTTAAGGACCTGAGTCGAAATCTCTCACATTCTCGGTTGACTGTGCCAACGTGAGTAAGAAAATCATCATTTTCATTCATTGCCAGCTTGAGGCAACGATAACGTATACTGAATAATGAGGAGTGGTCTCCGAAATGTTCACGCAGCAACTTTATTGTATCATCGAAACAATTGTCACGTGGTTTCTGTGGTAAAATTAGGTTGCAGTACCGTTCATATTCTGCCGGACCCAATTTACGTAGCAAAACTCGCACCTTCCAGGCATCGTCTTGTGAGGCGAGATCAACAGTGAATAAATCCTCATAACGTTGATACCATGTGTCAAAAGTGACATTAGCCTCTGGGTCATAATTGAACTGTGAAATGCTGTTCACAATTCCGTCGACAGATGGTAGCATGGTATGATTGGGATTGCTTGAAGGTGAAGCTGGACCAGTCTGTTGGTTGACGAACATTTCCATTAATTTCAATTGTTGTTCAAACAATAATTCCAATTTAGAATAATCCATAGTAAATTGTTATGTTGCTGCTGCTGAGTGGTTAATAGTAGTTTTCCCCGTCGCCAAATTGTTATGTACTAGTTTTCCCCGTCGCCAAATTGTTATGTACTCGTCGCTAAATTATTGTTATGGACTGGTCGAGAAACTAATAGTCCTGACGCGAGAAGGCGGAAATCAGAAGACCACTAGGTTTGCGATGATACTTCTATTGTCCAAACACAAGGAGACGAAAATAAATGGTCTCACACCAAAGTGGTAAGTAAGTAAAGTAGTTGTAAAGTAAAGTAGTTCACACAAATTGTGAATGCGAATATATATAAATAATTCAGACAAGCGTGGGAAAAATCATTAGACAGTCTTAACATGAATGGCTAATTATAATGGAGTGTCGATCCAATTATACATAGCGAATATAGCAGACA